CGCTCTGTGCATATAGCCTATTCTTTCGCGCGAAAGGGAAACACACTGACGTCACATACGGGGCACGAGGCTACATTGCGCATGTCATGAACCAACCGTCGAACCGTGCGACGCATGCATGCTCCGAACCGAGACAAGCGAACCGAACGGTTCGGTTTTTTTTCATGAACCGTGCCATCCCTAATACATATATACACACACACACATATATATATACACATATACACACACACACACACACACACACACATATACACACACACACATATACACACACACACATATACACACACACACACACACATATATATATACATATATTTTTTATATATATATATAAAATGAGCATGGTCCACCTTCTGTGCTAGTCCCAAACCCTCCTTGGAGTAGGCCTTTGTCTTTGTCTCTCGCTCAACAATCTTTAATCGCTCCATTTGCTGCAATATATACATACATATACACATACATCCCCCCCACCCATTCAAAAGCACTCACTGACCACTGACTTATGAACAGACCCTAGGCAGCACAACGTAATCATAAACAAGCCAAAGATTTTGTTATGACTGCGCTTGCATATCATACATGCTGTCCATGTGAAGTCCTGGAGGACCAATGTGACAGCAGGCAGTGATTTAAAACACACACACACAGCCCCATAAAATACCAGCGTACAACCCAGAGGCCAACAACTTTCTTGGACAAGCAGTACTCTACTTACGGATATCTTCTAGGTCCAGATCGTCATAGAGGAACTCATTCTCCTCAAAATCGGGATCCTGTGAGGAGTCGAGGTAGTACTCCACATCATCCTTGATCTTGCGTATTGAATCCACCTGCACCGAATCATTGTCCAGCATTCGCAGGATGGTCTCCAACATGCGTATGTGGTACCTGTGCTTCTCAATAAAACGCTTCAGCTCTTCAATGCGGTCCTGCTTCTGTGGAGCAGAGAAAAAGACACTACATTACTGCCAGTACTGTGAGAGCTCTCTGCAAAGCAACAGGGCCAACTGCACTGACTCACCTCTTTGTCTCCTTTCTTCTTTCGAGTCTGGACTGATAGACTCTCCACCTCACTCTCGAACTGGTCCACCTGCATGTTTAGTGTGTCTATTGTGTTCTTTTTAGGGGCACAGAAGAATGAGTGAGAAAAGGGTTTAAGGATTTACAACACCACCTTTTAATAGGTCCATCTAAAACACCTTAAGCCACATGAGGAGAATCTAGGTAAAAAAAAAAAACCACACTGTTACCAAATTACACCTCTCAATAAAACTGTATATGGTGAACCTATACAGGATCTGACAGAAGTGATGTAAGGCTGGACACACTTACCGTAAGCCACTGTCCCACCTCCTCCTTCTCCTTCTGAGCAGGGTCCACCTTCTGTGCTAGTCCCAAACCCTCCTTGGAGTAGGCCTTTGTCTTTGTCTCTCGCTCAACAATCTTAAATCGCTCCATTTGCTGCAAGTTAAAATAAAAACATTTAAAACAGATAATCCACCATCAATTTGATGGTGACAAAAGAAACCCAATAAAATGTTAATACAGCATATATGCTGTGCTGTAGCAATGCATATGCCTTTTCCCAGCTTGTTAGGGGCACCTAATTAGTAAATATGACGACTTAAAAATCAACTCTGAAAACCACAAAATAAAGCCTACAGTTGGCATTTTCATTAAGGCACTTCATTTAGGACAAGATTCCCCCTTACAACACCACACACCACTCCTCACAAGTAACATTACAAAGAACATCCCTAAAAATTTTGGAAGGCTTACATTAACAGGGAGAACGCTATTTTAGAATAACACAGAGGGAACAAATTTCCTTCACAACAAGCCGCTACAACCCTCCACCACATCACTCAAAGATCCTTAACTTTTGCAGATACACTGAGGTTTAAGCCTGGTTCATACTTCACACAGAATTTTCATTATAGGGGCCAGCCTCAGAGACCACATAGGGGGCTGTGAGCAAGAGCATGTACCACTCACAAACTGAAACCACGCGGATGGCCTATGCACTTTGATAATTCTTTGGCCAGGAGGAAAGTAGAAATTCAGAGAGAAGATTGAACCAAACATTGTATATAATAACCTTTTCTACCCCCTCTGATCAGAGTGAAAAATACAGCCAGCAGATTTGAAGAAAGATTGGATGAGGTAGTCCGGAAATATGGGGATTTATATGATTCCTCACAATGGGATTATAAAGATCCTCAGATGACTGCAAACCAAAAATAAATTACATTTGTAACTGCAATGACATATACCAATGAATGTGCTTGCGTCAGTGTTATAATTTTTATGTAGTTTTTTTGTGTCAAATTTTCGTTTGAAATCCAGTTTAGTTTTAGGTGTGGTTGTATTAGTTTTCATTATTAAGATTAGATAGATAAGATAATACCTATAATATAGTAATCTAACAGACATACATTTTAGTAAGTTAAATTCTAGGGATAGACAAATTTGCAGGACTTTGCTAGCTACTACAAAATTTCTTAATGTAGTGCCGCTTGTTATTGGTTCAAGTGCATTGCACGAAAAAGTATAGTATAAAGTAGGGGTGCACCGATTGCAGTTTTCTGGCCGATCAACGATCACCGATCCTTAGGCAACCTTACCTGCCGATCTCGATTTTTTTTTGCCGATCTTGTTTCTTTCATAACTAAAAGACAGTTACTTCAATGTTTCCATTTTTATTGAGTAATTTGATATGAATACTCACAAAACATGAGGTAGTGTCCTCAAATATAAATTAACATATAAATGAGCATTGCTGTTTGAACTACAAAATCATATTTTTTCTTCCAGACTTTAATTTCTCTAATTTTGTAAAAAATATATATATATATAGCTGTTATGACACACTTGTCCAAAAAATAGGGAGGGAGGCAGCCTGCACTGCACCTCTCTCGGGAATGGGAGAAAAGGCTGATTTAACCCTCTGGGGCCTAGGGGTAGGAAACACACTTTCACTGACTGGGGCATGATCACACATTTAATCACACTTAATTCATGGCAAATAAATTATTTCTTATATATTTGTTTTGCCATTACACTCATCTTTATTTTAATATATATTGTAAATATGTCAGATTTTTGTTAAGTTTGAAATTTGACATCAAAGTATAGACATTGCAAAATGCAGTTTGGAACACTTGCAGAAACATTATAAAAGTACATAGTAAGCAATGCTGGCAGTTTGTTTTGATCCCAGATATCTGATCACCAAAGTCTTGGCTACATGAAGATGACTAAATGGTGTAGATGCAACATTAATTTGGATAAATAAATAAGAAAAACCTAACTCATGTAACTATTTCTGGCTCCTTTCATTGAATATGTAGCAACTTTCATGTGTATGAATGAGCCATTGTCACCTGGCCACGTCCCCAACCCCCTTTTATGGCGCTGAAGGGGATGTATCTGGATCGCGTTTCACCGTTGCGCTGTTAATCAAATTACCATGCGAATGCGATTTGAATACGCGCTAATGCGGCTATTTAGAATGTGAATAGCGATCTTCGGGTGAGAGCGGTACTACACGCCCCCGATGCAGGTAAAACAAAGTAAGATGACATGGTTTACTTTTTTGCCGATTTAACCTAATTAAAAAAACTTTAATACTTCCGACAATGGACGTTTTGAAAAGAAGACAGATTACGGATTTAGCCAGTGTTTTTTTCATGATTATACATTAAGATTTCAGCGAGATATTTATAAACTGAAATAGACGCGAAAAGTACGCGATGTCGTCGACGACATACTCGATCCCAAAGAGTTAAAAGCATATAACTAAGATCGGTGGATCTCATGGGAATATGGTCGATTTCTGATCCCCTCAAATTAACGTGATCGAGGCCGATCGATCGGTGCGCCGATCGATCGGTGCACCCCTAGTATAAAGTATAGTATAAAAACAGTCTGAAAATGATTTGACGTTTGCCTTAAAAAAATTTTCCCCAGTTTTCAATATTAGGTGGTTAGTTTTCAATATTTCTAGATTTAGTTATAGTTGATTTTCATATCTTATTTCAGCTTACAGAAATGTTTCCACTGTGGAATACCCTGCCTTCCGTACTGTAAGTACACAGTACATGGTTAGTTTTAGGAACATTCTTATTTTTAAATGTAACCTTCATACCACACTTCATAATCACAGCTTTGCACTACAGCGCTACCATAGACTGGCATCAAAATACATGGTTGCCTGACGCATTGACACAAGTAGCAGGAAAATTCAGGACTGCAGACAGTCCAGAACTATGGCACATGTCTGCAGGAAGTATGAACCAGGTCTTATTCTGCATTCCATTTACCTTAGGGGTCGGTACTTGGATCTTGGAATGATGTCACACACCAGTTAACCATATTCCAGTGAAGCAAGTCAGAAAGTCATTTAGCAATACCAGGGACCCAAATCAATAAGCAAGATTTCCTGCTCTGCCAGATAACTTGTCGGATTTAATTTACGCCAGTTTAAATGGCCTTTATCTTCGTTCACTTAGCCAAGACTCCCTTAAATCAGACAAATTAGCCAATTAAGAAATCCTGCTTTCTGAAACAGGTCCCAGATCTAGCAATATCAGTTGATAATGCATTATGCTGTATTTTATGCACAAAATCATCATAGCGACAAGTCCACAATTAGGGATTGGGCAGTACTGTACGTACGACCAATTTAATGAGCCACAAATAAACAGCAAATGCTAATAAACAGTATAAAACTAAAGCTTTAACATCTGTTAATAAAGGGTGCAGCTATCTTGAATTCTGAGATCAGGGTTGTGTAGATTCCTCAGTGTTTAAATCGGAATTCCAACTTCAGTGGGCATTCCAGTTGAAATTTCCAACTAGGAAGTCCGAGTTACGAGTTCAAATGGAATGCAGCATTAGGTTAACTCTGCCTAGCCACATCTACATTATTAAAATACTCAACAACTTGACTAAGAGAGCATGGTATGCGTTTCAAAGTATACATTTATCAAGTTTGTCAGCCTTGCTCAAGATTAAGGTACAAATTCTGCTTACACTGACTGATGCAAATACAGTTAATGACCAGTTATCCTAAGCATTGAATTTAAAAGATGCTCCATACATCCTTACCGTCTCAATGAGTTTCCTATTCTCAACCAACTGCCTTTTGTCTTTGATTTCATTGGAGGCAACCCATGTCTTTATTTGGTCACGAAGACGCTGGTAGAGAAGGAGAGTCAGTCACTTTATATGTATGTGAAAACCCAAAAGTAACAGATTTCATTCATGAACCTGAACACACATGGAGTTTTGTGCAGAGCATTAGTGGCTTGCAAGGCGAAATGACACAAAAGAACAGCTTCTCACCTGCAACTTTTTTATCTCTTTCTTGAGGTCCGCTTCATATTTTTCTTTCTGATTTGCATTAGCTGCATTATGAAGCTAGAGACAACAAAAAGAAACAACTGCCAGGTAAGAACTTAACTTGGGGAGGGACAAATAAATTTGTTTATACAAATGCATGCATCTCAAAAGCTTGACCAAAGCATTGAGAATCTGTCGACTGTACTGAAGGCTGAGCTGGAAACAATTGCTTGACAAAACCACTGCACAAAATCTAACAGTGACATAATGTTTTCAAATTGTAAAACGAAATGCACTGGCCACTGAATTATCTGCAAATACTACCAAAACAAAATAAGACATTGCCTGAGTTAAAGGTTCCAAAAAAATATAACCCTATTTTAAGCCAAAAAGGATCTTCTAACTAAAGACTAAAAATAATTTAGGAATGTCTCCACACAACAGGTCTCCACACAATGCTGTTATGATACATGTATTAACTGTCAGTTTTGGGTGTGCATACACATGAATAACAATGTAAAACATTTTACTCACCTTCTGCCAGATGTCTTCAAACTGCTCAACACCCTCCCCCACTTTTTTCAAACATCGATCTATTTCACCTGGCAGGGCAGAAAAGAGGAGAGGGGGGTGTCACAATTTCATATAGGCCCCAAAACCAATTAATAATAGCAGAAGCATTATTCGCTAGTCATATCTGTTCATTACTACCTTAACAAAGCAAGTCATACAATAAAGCAAAGAAGTATTACAAGACGATTTGGTCAAATATTTGCTCTCCAAATCCTGATCACATATACCATGATTAAACTGAATATCTTCAAATATATTGTTTGCAGGTGTTTGCCCTTAAGGTCCAATCTAAATGAGACTTGGCTCATTACTATGGAATAAGGAGTCAAGTGTCTTGTAAGATTCGCAACGTTAATTTCAGCATTTTGGATGCTCTAGGACCATTAAGAATAAAACTGTGTGCAAGTCATTACTAAATAACTTTAAACATATTCCTGATAACATTATGGGACATCAATACAACTATGATGCATTTCTACATTTTTTCCATACACTGGGTAACAACTACCAAGTTCCAGAACATATTTGAAATATCCAACCTGCAAAAAAAGCATACTGACTTACTGTGGTAAAATAAAGCTAAAACCATCATACCTCACAGCCCCAAAGTGCTGTACCTATCAAATATTTTCTGGTTGTTTATTTTTTATACAGTAGTCCCCTTGTGTGTCATGAATCTCACTCTCCTACTGATTTTTTATCCATGATCCTCAAACTGAGTTTGTTCTGGAAAAGGCTTTTGTTGCATTTCCAGATTAATTTCCTTAACATTACTACTCTCATTCAAGACTCAAGGTTTCCCTCAACAGCCAATCAAAACCAGGCACATGATCTAATGATGGCTACATACAGCTGCATCAACTTGACTCAATTCTGAATATCTTCAATTTAACCATGTTTTACTTGCAAAGTATGTTCTTTCTTGCTGGAAGGAATATGTAGTGCTGCTTGACCTACATAACGCTAACTGGTTATGCAACTCATACAGTTTTGCTTATTACTTTCATATTAGGTTGTTGCTATGATGCTTGACTGAATAAGTGGAATAGAAAACTGATGGATGGTAGCAAAAACAATTTTTTCCCCTCATTTGCATATAAAAGTTTATTTGGATTCAGTTTAAGGCAATGGTCACTAACCCTGCTCCTGGAGATCTACCACCCTGCAGAGCTTAGGGGCAGCCCTAATTTAACACACCTGATACAGATAATCAGGCCCTTCAGGTGCATCTCAGTATCAGAGGCTAGTATTAGCTTTAACATAGCTGGCTCCAATACTGATCTGTATCACATTTGTTAAATTAGGGCTGCATCTAACCTCCGCAGGGTGGTAACCACTGGTTTAGGGTGATAATGTCAGTTAATCTGTTTGCAAACTCAAAAAAGCTACCCAATTAAACACATTATACTACTGTATAGCAGCCATTTAGAACTTATAATGCTATACTAATAAAGCAGGAACTATATTCCAACTTCACAAAATTTTGATTGCAAATGTAATTTCTTTAAAAATGTCTGCTACACTTAAATCTGAGATTTTACATTAAGATGTATATATAATTCTGGGGAATTAAACTTTTCTGTATCAAACCTCAGATTCTTTAATATATGAAATTTTCTGCTACGTAAAGACCTTTTTATGTTTGCCAATAAGCTAGATTTTATGACTAAATAAAACTGCATTACAAGTTTCAGTTCCATGGAACCAGCTTTCACTGTGGCAAAGAGTAAAATACAATGGATGCACCTAACCACACAGTGGTTAACCACAGTGAAAAGTAGAGGGAACAAATTGTAAGATTACACTGGTTATTTCAGAGAAAAGAACATATTTGAAATGGAATTTACCTTGTAATTTTCTTTTATCAGCCATGACTTGTGGACTATGATACTGTCTTCATACCGTCTTTCACTGTGAGATGAAAAGAGTTTTCAACAGTGTAGGTTCTGTGACAGTTGGGATATGACCAGAGCAATATGGCTTCCGCAAGCAAAAACATTGAAGTAGTGTTAATGTGTCAGTCAGAAATAACATGTGTTCCACACAGAATTCTGAAACATACAAGTTCTACATAAAATCATACCCTAAGACATTACACAAGACTCTTAACATTTTAAAATTAACTCAAAGAAATGTAAGCTTAAATGTATGACAGTTTAAAAATGAAGCTTATGTTTATATCAAATAAGCTTTTTAATGCTCAAATCAAATATAAATGCTCGTATCAAATATTTTTTACTTTGGCTTGACTTAAAAAATAAAGCATATTGCTGGCAAACACCGGAGTCTTATGTCTGCCTAAATTATATCAGGGGCCCGGGATGAAAAGGATCTGTCAGGCTAAACAGACGAATGAAAAGCAAATCATCCCCCATGATCACTGTATAAACGGTACATGGGAACCCCGTTTTCATATCACCACATCTACTGAGGTATGGAATCAGCTGAAGGTTTCATCTATAGCTCAGACAAGCATATCTAGTGGTTACATCTAGCAATAAAGAAAGACACTGCTTATAATCATTTCAGTGCGAATAAGCAAGAGCAGATTCACTAAAAGCACTAATTTGCCAAGCTCCAAATAACCTTAGTTTACTTATTTGGACAAGAGACAAATTCTGTATTTAAATCGTTCGCTACGTCGTAACGGATTCCCTTATATGACTTATCTAAAGTTGTGTAAAGCACACTGCATTGAAGTGAGGATATGAATAATGTACGCACTGTAGTTTGAAATTGGCCAGATTTTGCAAGCCATTCAGCGGTAAAAACAAATCCCCACGTTACTGGAAACTATACGGCGCCAGCTCAGCCAGAACGGGTGCTTCAACTGTGAACTCCGGCTCCAGTTTTTTTCCAATTATTCTTCGACATCTACCGTTATAACTATTTGCCCCTCATTTTCTGGCCTGGCAGGTAGGCACTGTATTTTTGCGAGGTACAAGTGATGCTTGGCTGGGCTTTTCAACCAGCTAGCTATATACACAGTTAGCCAGCTAGCATCAGCCAAGCAAGCCATAACATTGGTAAAGAAAAAATATAAGTTCATTGTGGTTTTTCTAAACGAAAAAGCAGTTAAGCTACCTGAATTTTCTGGACTTTCCTTCGTCTTATAATCCGTCTTTTGGTACACTAATTCCACAAATCTTCAAGTAATAATTTTTATTTTATTATTTCTTTACGCCAAACAATCACTCTTCACATCCAAGATGGCCGCCGGGAACATCCCCCTCCTCCGCTGTTACGCGGATGTCCTGGAGCCCCGCCCGCCGGAGCGTGATTGGTAACGCGCGTTCAATGGTTAACATGACTGGTCGCTCAGGAGACCTTGCGTTTCCTCTTCCGCACGTCACCACTGCGATAGGCTTATTTGTAAGGTGAAAGTTAAAAATGCAACATTTTTCTGTCCATACAGGAATTCTTACTAATACGGGGCTGGTAGAAAAAGTCACGTGACTAAGAATGAAGCAGAAAACACTGAATACATTTTCTCACACGTGTTTTTTTTTTTTTTTTGAAGAATTGGTAAAATGTTATTTTAAAAATCGTAAAGTTTTTACAAGTAAGGTATGGAGGGCTAAGAGTGCCAAAATTAAATAAAGAAATACACCAATAATTAATTAATTAAATGTGCCATGAATTGTTTAAAATGGGAAATATAAAGATAAATTATTACTTAAATGTGTCATGAATTATTTAAAATGGGAAATAAAAATATCCTTAATTAAATGTACCATGAATTATTATCTACCATTAGAAATAAAATC